TTGCTGCTCAGCCGGCTCAGGGGCCCAGCTCCCCAACGCTGCTCATAGCCCCCTCCCTGTCTCCCTGCAGATGTGGACGCCCTGCTGAAGAAGTCGGAGGCCCAGCACGAGCAGCCCGAGGATGGCTGCCCCTTCGGCCCCCTGACACAGCGCCTCCTACAGGCGCTGGTGGAGGTGAGTGGGGCTCCGGGCTGGGCCGCGCTTGCCCCCACTACCCAGCACTGACCCCCGTCTCCGTGCTCTGTTCTTAGGAGAATATCATCTCCCCCGTGGAGGACTCCCCGATCCCGGAGGTCGCGGGCAAGGATTCAGGGGCTGATGGCGCTGGCACCTCCCCCCGCAGCCAGAACAAGCCCTTCAGGTGAGCAGCCTTGGGGCCCTGCTGCCCCCTTCCCTGCAGCCCCCTTGAAAGGGGCCGTGGGGTGACGGCAGCCCGCCCTCGTCCCTGGCAGCGTGCCGCACACCAAGTCGCTGGAGGGGCGCATCAAGGAGGAGCTGATTGCGCAGGGGCTGCTGGACTCGGAGGACCGCCCGGCCGAGGACGCTGAGGATGAGGTGCTGGCGGAGCTGCGCAAGCGGCAGGCGGAGCTCAAGGCGCTCAGTGCTCACAACCGCGCCAAGAAGCACGACCTGCTCCGGTGGGTACCGCAGGCGGCCTGGGGGCCAGGGCCGGGGCCAGGGCCTGGTGGGGCTGACGGCTCTGCCCCGGCAGGCTGGCCAAGGAGGAGCTGCACCGGCAGGAGCTGCGGCAGCGCGTGCGCATGGCGGACAACGAGGTCATGGACGCCTTCCGCAAGATCATGGCCGCGCGCCAGAAGAAGCGCACGCCCACCAAGAAGGAGAAGGACCAGGCCTGGAAGACCCTGAAGGAGCGCGAGAGCATCCTTAAGCTACTGGACGGCTAGCCGGGCCCTGGGACGGGCTCGCGCCGCCGGAGACTGGCCCAGCGCAGGGCTGCGCTTCGCGGCATTGGTGCTGAGGCGCGGGGCTCTGCCTCCCTTGCTGCCCCGGACGGGCGCGAGCCGGCTCC